GGGGACCAGGTCTGGGGAATACGGTGGCTGCGGCATCATTAGTGTGTTGTTTTTGGCCAAAAATTCGCGCACAAGCAACGATGATTTTTGGTCGAAAGTGAGCAATTTTGGTACGAATTTCGCGGCGACCCGTCTCATGCCCAAATCATTGGTAAAAATCGAATGGCACGAGCCAATCGATATGTTTAGGTCCTCAGCAACTTCTCTAACGGTGATTCGACGATTGGCCAATACTATTTTCTTCACTTCATCAATGTTTTCGTCTGTTATTGACGTGCTCGGGCGTCCGGCACGCTCTTCGTCGTTCACATCTTCTCGGCCCTCTGAGAACATTTTGTACCACCAATAAACGTTGCTTTGGTTCAAGGTAGCTTCACCATATGCTACAGTCAACATTCGGAATGTGTCCGCGCACTTAATTTTGTTTTTCACACAAAATTTGATACATATTCTTTGATCCATTTCTTGGAATAGGCAAAAATCGAAGACGAGCCAAAACACGTCTAAGCAAAATAGCTGTCAAAAATTAATTGAACATTCAAAATGGCCGAACTTGTCAGCATAAGTGAGGGACATGAGTACCAACATAACGCCACAAAAAAATCGAAAATCGAATATACGTAGCCCGCGGAAATTCAAAATTCGCGATACTTTTTGAACAGACCTCGTACTTGGGACTCTGATGATCTACATAACTCTGGAGGTTAAAGATGCTATTCCAATAAGTATCTATTCTTTCATTTTTATTTAGATAAAATCTAACTTTTTCATCTTGTTGCAATAATCTCCATTCACACTCCAACTTATCATTGTCAATATTTGTTGGCGGTAAAATTTAGAAATTTTTATAATGTTGCCTACACTTTTAGAATTTTTAATATTTTCTGGTGCAAGACATTGAAAATATTTCAAAGTTTTGAAGTTCTTAACTTTTGCTAATATGTGCTTCACATTAGCAACATAAAAATTTTTTACTTCATTCATAAAGGATAACTGATAGCTTAGGTAAAGTTGCAAGTGTTTTTTTGCTCCTTCTCCAATTTTAATTTCAAGATTTAAAAAGTTGTCAGAATTCTCTAACAACTCTTTAACGTTGTCGACTCTAAATGAAATTGATTCTAATGCAGATTGTTTGATAAAACTTGAGAGTAGAATTAAAATCAGCGTTTTTAATTGTAAATATAAAATGTGAATGAGTGGTTCTTCTTTTTGCATTAGTAATGTAAACTCGGTAGTGAAAATTTTTGTAGCAAATTTTTGAAGCATATACTATAAATTGCAAAGAAATCTTTAGATGATCATTTTTTAAGTACTTTCTAATATCACAGTAATTTTCCTTTCGTAAAGTTGCACTCTCTTTCTGTGGAATGTATTTAAAAAAATAATGTTCTAACGCAGGAAGTTGTTCTTCTACTCTCTCTGCTGCCAGACCTAGAGTGAGCCAACTTGTGCTAACGTGTTTTATATACATATGTCGCTTAACATTTTCTTGTTTTTGAATGGCTTCAAAAATTTCACAACGTACGTCACGGTGGTGAAAATAATAGAACACTTTGATAATGAAATCAGAAGTATGTAAAACAAGACATTCACAACCTTTGAGAAAAGAGTTGTGTACGATATGTAACTCGCAAGTACCTATGTCAATGAAAGGCTTTAACTTCAATTCCTTTAAACTTTCTTAAAATAATTTGAAAACCGTTTTATTTACGTTTGGTCCATCACACCCTAAAGTCAATACGTTCTTTTGTGGTAAATTATTAGAATCTAATGCTTTTATTAAGTGATCAAACAAGATTTGACCAGTTGCAGATCCTAAGAAGTAAGTCTGTAGATGTCGACATACAATTTTACTTTCAGTGTGAGACCAATACCTAATCCTAATTTGCATTTCCTTTTTACTTTTTACATTGCTTGTATCGTCGAAAAGAATTGAAAATAACACATCTTTGTATTCTAGATCTTTCAATAAGAGGTTTTTAAAATGAGGTCCCAAAGCTTCAGTGATTAGATATTGAGCTTTACTGGGAGACAGAGAAAAGTTTTCAGGGACAGCACCAGGGAACATCACATTAAACAGTTCCTTTTTTCCATAACATGAAGCAACAGAGTTGCAATTGGCAACATTTTCCATACACCATAAAAGTTCTGCTCGTATTGCAGCCTCTCTAGGATTGTATAATGAAAAAGAAACTGTTTGTACATTATTAATTTCTTGTAGTGGCATTGTAACTGTGAGGGTCCAACTGCTGATAAATTAAGAACTGCTGGGTGAGTAAATGATTGATTGGGCTGAGAAGTTGATACTGCAGAAGTGGTCATTAATAGTAATTGACTTGTATTTAATATATTTAAATTCTTGATGTGTTTCTGAGTCTGTGCATGTTGTTTCAATCTATCAATTCCTCTATCAACACTGAAACGTGCATTTTTACAAACGATGCAAATACAAAAGTACTAATCATTTGGGTCTTTTTTAGCCCATTTCGATATCAAGGTACCATTTGGATCGATTAATGTCAGCCAACTATCTTGAAACTTGACTCGTTTTATATTTGACTTCTTGTTAGACATTATTTATCTCTCTTAAAATTATTTGATCGAATAACTGAAACATAAAAATACATTCCAAAATGTAAATAAATATTTAAGAATTTAGAAAATATTCTTTTACTACCTATAAGTTTAATTTATGCACAGTTATTTTATATATTATAATTAATTTAAAAATAAAAAATGAAAAATATATCTATAATTTTATTGAAAAATGTAAAGCTAAAAGTGATGCTAATTTTTATTTACCTAAAACTTTATTATGTTTTTCAAACCCTTAAGTTTTCTTTCTCTATTTTACATAGAAAAATGTATATAGACAATAATGTAAATAATTTACTTAATAAAAATTTGTCAAACTCAGCTGAAAAAAATTAATTTTTTATCAAATATAAAATTCTTCCTTCTTGTCGCCAGCGATATTCAAAAAGTGAGAAACTAATTTGTTGTATGTCAACCAAACTGGTAATTTGTTTTTCCAGTTTTTCCAGTCCGTTGCCAGTTTGGTTGACATACAACAAATTAGTTTATCTCACTTTTTATCAAATATTTACACATTTTTAATTCAGTTTACATAATTTTCAATTTAATAATAATACAATTATTAATTTGAACATTTCACTCTACAACAGAATGTACTAATTTATTATTCGCAATAGCATCACAAATAATAATTGTATCGACAAGATTAAACAATCAACAAGTTTGAGTCATGATTAAATTTTAAAGTTTGCCGTATGTATACATAAATTGAATATCCACAAAAAGATCAATTTATAATATAAGAAAATACACGGAGTAAGATTTAGCAACAAGTTCATGTAACGAACCTCTTTCGCTTGAAATGTTTAATCGGTAGGGCGAGATTAATTATCTTTACATTAATATTCATAACAGGTTGCATATAACCTAATATCTATGGATGAGAGAAAAACAAGATTTATAAGTAAATTTTTGATACATAAAAAGCATATGAAACAGTATGCAAAAATAAATAAATGCACTCACCCAAAAAACAGTATACCTTAAAGTATAGTAATAGAAGTTTTTTTCGTGTAAAAATTATATGTTCATTTTGAACGTATATTGAAACCATATAATAGTCGCAAAAAGTACGTTGCTAATCGATTAGATACTCTGTTATTAACTTTTCATCTGTCCGCAATCATCCATTCGATTAACTCATTGGATAAATAAATTTAATTTTAATCAAGACTTTTCAGCAAATAGTATACTGAAAAGGTTAAAAACAGTGTATATCTAGCTCTAGCTGATCTGACTACCCCAACGCCGCCTAACATGCAAGCACAGAGGCAGTCAGAGCGCGCAAGTTTCAAACACGAAAGTTAAATTAATATTTTGAATAATTAAGATTTTGAAGTAAAAATTTTTACAATTTTTTATAAATTTTTAATATTTTACTTTGTTAACTAAAAAAGATGACAAATTCCCAAAATAGTGTACTATAGGTGACATCAAAAATAGGTGAAAAAAGGTGAATAGGTGACAATCTGTGATGACTGCGATAGTGTCATACTTTTTTAGTAGATGGCAACCACTTTGACCCTCTA